CAAGAGGCCACAGAGACTCCATAAGTCAGGACATCCTAAGCAATGAGGAAGACTCGGCAAGAGGCCTCAGTGAGAGAAGAGGGAGTGGAAGGTAGGGGGTGAGGAGAGAATGTTCACCGCAGATCACTTGCCAGGCCAGGCATTTTTTTATCGCTGCCACTACTAGCTTAGGAGCAAGACCTGTGCTACGTACTTTGACACTTTGGCACAGATCTTTCCAATCGTTTCCCCATTTCCAGCCCCATTTCAGGCTCCTTCCAAAGAAGAATTGTGGGAAGGGGGCGGTGTTTGACCGTCCACCACTAGGAACCCTGGAAGTGCAAAGCCCTCTGAGCTGCCTAGCTGGCTTTGAGCACAACCCGGGTGTCCCTCTGGAAGTCTCCCTACAGTCTCAGCTGGACAGCTGTCTACTGGTTTCCATTTCCCCTTCCATTCATTCTGTACCAGGCTGCAGAAAGGAGGGCTCTAGCTAGTCAAGGTTAACTGAACCAATCATTTCCAAGTTAAAAACAGCTGAATTTCTTCCAGCTCCACCTCAGGATAGTCCTGAATGGAGTAACAAGGTAACCAACAACCCATTGCTCACCAGAGCTGCCTTCTTCTGAATGGAAAATGTGAATTATGTTTTTTTCAGTGGCACTCAGCGGAAATTATTCACAGCAAGTAAAAACACATTTATCATGGCGTCTGTCTGTAAAATCTTGGTGTAAACAGTTCTTGAAGGGGTAATGTATATATCCAAGTAACCGTTCCACGACTGACTCCAACTGCCTTCAGAGTGAACTAGCATAGTCAGGAGGTGGCCAGTTTGAGGAGTAGAGTTGATGGACATCACCGACGGGTTAACACTGGCTAGTCAGAGGAAGAAGCACCCAGGCCTTGCTCTCAAGATTGTTTTCCCAGACCATGGTAAAATTAACATGTGATGCTTCACACAGGTTAGGGCTGCTGCAGTGTGTGTGTGTGTGTGTGTGTGTTTACATACACACTACGGTCAAAAAGGAGTCTAACGGGGCTGGCACAGCACCAGGTCACTACCTGGGTGAGACACACATCCAATGGGGCAGTCAGGCTTTGTACTTCAAGTTTCTACAAAGTGGAGAAAACAGGCTGGGATGTACTCCAGGACCAAGGGAAAAGCTAGCCGAGCCCAGCTCTAATAAACCTTGAGCTTCAACAGAAGAAAAGGTCACCCACATCCTCTCCCGCACACTATGCGGCATCCACTTCTCCTGGCAGGAAGTGTAAGGTCAGAACAAGATGGTGCCTAGAATAAATATCTGCCCCCGTGACCTCTGGTGACTGGAAATAACAATCGAGGGAAAGAATCAGGGTCCTTAGCATCTGAAAATGTATGCGTGCTGAAGTTAATTTCACATAGGAATATGGATGCTCCTTGGCTTACAAAAGGAGCCATACCCAGAAAAGCTCACTGTAAATTGAAAAGATGAAAACGGGTGGGTGGGGGTTGCTTGCAAACCTAAGAACCTGAGTTCAATTCCTACAACCCAGAATAATAATAATAAAAAGCTAGACACGGTGATACACACTTGTAGTTGTGTAGAGGCAGAGACAAGTGGATGCTTAGGGCTTGATGGCCAGGCAGCGCAGCCTAATGGGCCAGCTTTCGATCAAGGAGAGACCATGACTCCAGAAACAAGGTGGATGGCATTACTGAAGATGACACCCACGGTTGTCCTCTAGACTCCACATGCCTGTGCACACACGTGTGTGTGAACGCCTCCTCTGACCACAAACTCACACAGACACAAAGTTGAAAAAGTGTGAAATATACAACCTATTGACCCTACCCAGTACAGTGCAGAGTGTGGGTCGTCTGCCCTCAGTATTCTGCAGCTGACAAGAAGCTGCAGTTTGCTGCCATTGGCTAGTATTGAAATGGAATTCCATGCCATATATCACTAACCCAGAAAAATGCAAAATTCAAAATGTGAAGTGAGGTTTCTTGCTTTCACATCACAATAAAGTAGTAAGTTGAACCACTGTTAAGTCAGAGACTCTTTATAACATAGTTTCCCATATCATAGGTTCATCCCTTCAGAAAAAAATTATAAAGCCACTTCAAACATACCATTAGCAAAGACTAAAGCACCTGTAAAAATATCTGATTCTGCCGCATAGAATCTGGCCAACAGTTAGAACTCAGGGTTGGCGAGGCATAAATGGCCACTTCCAGGGTGTAGCCTGGAAGTGAGGAGTATCAAAGGCTTCCATTCTGAAAAACCATCTTTCACTAGCCCACCACAGCCATTGTTGTACACTGAATCCATTAAAGATGGAGATTCGGTGTAAGGAGCATGTAAAAGAAGGAGAAGAAGATCCTAAGGCAGAACTGAACAGTTAACCTGGGTACAGATTAGCTTATGAGGCCAGTCAGCAGGGAGTACAGTCTCCAGGGATGCAGCAGGAACAGGAAAAGTAAGAAAAATTCCAAGGTGGTGGTTACATGTAAAAATGCAAAACCATTCCCAGGAACATGTATATATGATGTATAGATACGCATGAGCTTCGCAATCCACATTATTATGTTAAAGGCTCTACAGGCCTTGTTGTAAAGAATTTGACTTAGATTTTGATGAAGCTGGCATTTGTAAGTCTTACTTATCCATCTTGCTGTTCATTCATCCATTCAGTGACTACTGAGCCCACCCACTAGGTCTAGGGTACCTGAGGTGGGGGTGGGGCCCAAGAAGACATCACCATTTCCACTCTTACAGCGCTTGCATAGAGCAGGCTTCTAAGAGCAAAATTAAGAGACAAATGAGCTAGAAAATAACAGGCAAATCTCGCTGCTGTGATGAGCTCATGCGGTGATAAGACAGGGAGTGACTTGGGGACTCATTTAATTCGAGCAGACAGGCAAGGGGCCTCTGAGGAAATGACATTTATTAAGCTGAGACCTGAATGACAGCACAGATCCAATTACATGTGGATCTGGGAGATTTCAGGCAGAATCGCTGGGCCAGCACAAAGGCCGGAAAGAAGCTTTGGGTTCTAAAACAATCAGGGAAGACCTGTGTATTTGCCACATGGTGGCCAACAGGGGGAAGAACTGGTGACCACACCAGGCCTGGAACATTAAAGGAAGGGAGTGGGGTTGTATTTGAGTGGATGGGAAGCTATTAGAGACAAAGCATGCAGAAGGGTCTGGATTATATTCTCAAACTTTGGAGGTAACCTCTAAGCTCTTGGAGTGTCCCGCCTGAGGTAAGTACCCTTGTACACTTGGCGGCTTTAGGCTACGTAGTCTGTGTGATTCAGGACACCAAATATCAGTTTAGCTTCGGACAGGGCTGGAGACCAATATCAGCCCACAACAATCAACTCCGTCTGTATGAAAGAACCCTGATAAAACTCTGGACACTACATGCGTAGTCTCCCTGGTTGCTGATACACTGTTACACAGGGCTGTTTGAGGGACAGGTACTGTCTGTCCAGCTGGGTGCTTCTGGCTGTGACTCCTGCATCCTGTCCTACATACCTCTTCAAGGGTTCAAGGCCAGCTATGTCTACACAGTAAGATCCCGTCTCATGAAACAAATAAGCAAGCAAGCAAACAAATCTAAGTGCATACAGAAAAAAAAAAATACTTGAAAAAGCCAA